TCAAGGATTCCTGAGAATTCTTAAGGATTCCTAAAAAGACTCCTGGGGCTGACCCTTTTGGACGGTTTTGTCCGGATCCCGCCCGGACCCCCCTGGGGCGTCAAGATGTTTTCTTTCGAGCCCACTAGAAACTGATCAGTCTTCGCTGCTAAGTAAAAACATTCATTTAATTGAAGTGGTGCAGGATTCCCCAAAACGGTTGAAGACGTAAATGAATCCCCATGGCAGCAACAAAAACATCCGGCGCTTTCAAAGTTAGATGTTCGCGTCCCGAACGGCAGACGCCACCCGCCCAAATCTAACGAACAAGGCGCATGATTGCTCTCTTTGGGTCGCACCAGCGAAAAATTGCAATTGAGTGCGTCCGCCGTGGCTGAGGATCTTTCTAACATGATATCACATGGTGTTGCGTTGCACCCGTTGCGCTTCTAATGGCAAGCGCCCCCACGCCCAAAACCAACGAATAATGCGCATAATGTGTACTTTTTGGCGACGGCAAGAGAAGAAACCCTTGAGGGGTGCGTCCACCGTGGCTTAATTTCCCTCAGAGACAATGAAATCGAGGTCGATGTGTTTCACCTGATACGTTTCTAATGGCAGGCATCCTGCATTCCAACATCAACGCGACGTGCACAGACGTTTCCCCTTTTGACGACACTAACACAAGAAAAACCCTCAAGGGGTGCGCCCGCCGTGGCCCAAGTTCCTTGAGAGACAACGAAGGCGAGGGCGATGCGTTTCACCCCATACGATTCTAATTGTACAGTGAGCGGCTTGAGTAAGAAACGCTTACTTTTCAAAAGGGACTCGGTCGTTCCTCAAGGCTTGCATGCGTTACGTATCCTTCCTTATGCGTTTTTTATTATTATTTATCGTTCCTGATGCTTTTTTCCTTGGAAAACAGGGGCTTCGTTCCTTATTTATCGTTCCTTAGGTCAGGCCGATGACTGTAGGCACCCCGCATGCAGAATCAACGACAAATGCACGTAATTTACCCCTTTTGACGACATTACTAAAAGAAAAACCTTCAATGGGGCGCGTCCGCCGTTGCCCAAGTTCCTTGAGACACAATGAAGTCCAGGGTGATGTGTTTCACCTGATACGTTTCTAATGGTAGACATCCCGTATCCAAAATCAACGAGACATGTTGAGAACCTACTCCTTTTGACGGCACCTATAAAGAAAATCCCTCAAGGGGTGCGTCCGCCGTCGATCATATTGATTTTACTGCAATCCTCCAGAAAAGGAATTCGATTGACATCTTCGACAGAAGCAATCCTACTGTAATGCGTCACGCAAGGAATCCGTTCGTATTCCTCCACAAAAGGAATTTGATTGCAATCCTCTACAAAAAAATCCGATTGTAACCCTCCGCAGAATGAATCATAGTGCAATCCTTTACACATTGAACTCTAGTGTAATCCTGCAAATCAATTTTTCCATCTACCTCGGAAAAAAATTGAATTGTCTGTTTCTGTTCCCAAGACCTCCCTTTGAGCGTTTCTTCTTCTTATTATTATTCGTTTGTGACGGTTTGCAAAGTTATTTCTGGTGTTCCCTCACAAAAAAGATTCCGATCGAAATCCTCGACTAGAGGAATCCGATTGTCATTCTCCACAAGAGGAATCCGATTGTAATCCTCCATACATGAAATCCGGTTAAAATCCGCCACAAAACGAATCATAGTGCAACTCTCCATAACAAGGAATGCCGTGGAACTCTTCCACACAACAGGAATTCTGTTGTAATCCTCTACGCTGGGAATCCTGTTGTAATCCTCCACAACAGAATCCTATTGTAATTCTCGACACATGTACTCCCATTGTAACCCTGATGTTCCAAATCCCCAAGTACCTCGGACATGTTTTGTTTGTTCTGCTCCTCGCCTTGGTTTTGGTTGTCCAGACACAGGGAAGCTCTATTTCCAGGATTGTCTAGATTTTTGTGTGTTTGTTTTCCGCCTTGGCTTTTTGCTGCCCAGGCAAAGGGAAGCTCAAAGTCGATGAAGATCGAAAAACATGTTTTCGCGATTCGGCTCCATGGGAATACTGGCGCGCGGCAAGATTCGCGCCGTGTTGCGGCGGCGGCAACCCCAGTGCAGTGCGCAGCATCTGCCTGTCGCGGGGCGCGGTGTGCGAAGTTGGACGATTTGGGGGTATCGCTGCCGCCCAAGAGGCCTCCAAGAGGGCCCTAACACGGCCGAATGGGGGCCCCAAGACAGGCCAGGAGGCGCCCAACACGGCCCAAGAGGGCCCCAAGACGGCCCCCAAAGGAGCCCCAAAGAGGGAACACAAACCGAAACTCCGAGCCTTCCGCACGGCAAGGCTCGCGCCGTCGCGGCGGCGGCGGCAACCTTGGCGCAGGCGTCTGAGGTTGAGCGCCGCCGCTGGGCGCAGAATCGGCCGGCATCGAGCGGTCCGCGCGGTCGGAGGGCCGCAGTCGCCCAGGAGGCTGAAGGATCCACGCTGTCCCAGAGCCCAGCGCACAGGCCGTCGCGGCACGGGCTTCCCGCAGTTGGTGCGCTCCTCTTGCTCCTACAACGGGGCGCTCCACTCGCCCTTCGTCGCGCCGCGCTATCGGAGGGCCGCAGTCGCTCAAGAGGCTGAAGGATCCACGCTGTCCCAGAGCCCAGCGCGCAGGTCGTCGCGGCATGGGCTTCTCGCAGATGGTGCGCTCCTCTGGCTCCTCCACCAGGGGGGGCCGCAGTCGCTCAAGAGGCCGAAGGATCCACGTTGCCCCGGAGCCCAGCGCGCAGGTCGTCGCGGCACAGGCTTCCCGCAGTTGCCTTCTGGCAGCTCAGGCTGAGGAGTCCGAGCTTGCTCGGAGCTCCCCCCTCCACAGCGACGAGTTACCCTCCCCCCTTGGGGCGGGGATCTGGAGGCCAAGAGCGTAGAGATCAAGGAGGAGGAGGAGGAGGAGGAGGAGGAGGAGGAGGAGGAGGAGGAGGAGGAGGAGGAGGAAGAGCGAGGAGGAGGAGGAGGCGGGAGGAGGAGGACCGAGGAGGACCGAGGAGGGCCGAGGAGGACCGAGGAGGACCGAGAAGGAGGACCGAGGAGGCTTGCTCCACCAGGGCGCTCCGCTCGCACTTCCTCGCGGGCGGGAAGACATATGTCCACAGCCTCGCGGGCCTGGCCCCTGGCCCCGCGACACTGCGAAGTACGGGCGCACTCTCGCCGATGCCCCGCGCGGAACGCATATCCATGCGACCGCGTTATCCGCGGCACGGCGCCCCCGAATTCATGGGCTCGTTTTCCACCACCACCACCATAAGCTGGATAGGGGGGAGTGAGGTGGAGGAGGAGGAGGAGGAGGAGGAGGAGGAGGAGGAGGAGGAGGAGGACGAAGAGGAGGAGGAGGAGGAGGGGGGGGGAGGGGAGGATGAGGAGGAGGAGGAGGAGGAGGAGGAGGAGGAGGAGGAGGAGGAGGAGGAGGAGGAGGAGGAGGAGGAGGAGGAGGACCCCTCCCCCTCCTACTGAAGGTGGTGGTGGTGGTGGTGGAAAACAAGCCCACCACGAATCCAGACCGCGAGGGCGCAGACATGGATACCTCTGCATGCCGCCACGACGCGAACACCCCGAGCGGCTTCCGGCGGCCGCTCGGGACGATGCGGGCACCCCCAGGCTGTTCTCGGCGAGGCGCAGCTGCTAGAAACCACCCCGAGGCGAAGAAGCATTCCACGGATTGACGAACACTTCCGAGCACCTCCCTTTGCTTCTCCACCATGGCGCGAACCCCCCCCCGCCGACTTCGGATCCGTTGTACCTTGGACGAGAGTTTGTGTCGGAAATACGCCCCAAACGATGCGACTGAGTAGCGCGGAAATTTTCGCCTCAGAAAGGTCGGGCGGATGTAGCAGCAAACGTATGGCGAAAACCGCGACGGCAAAGTATGGCGGAAATCGACCAATCGAAATACGGCGTATCCAGAGTCCGGGTGAGGAGGAGGAGGAGGAGGAGGAGGAGGAGGACGGAGGATTGAGGATGGAGGAAAAGGAGGATGGAGGAAAAGGAGGAAAAGGAGGAAAAGGAGGATGGAGGAGGAAGGTGGAGGAAGATGGAGGGCGGAGGATGGAGGAGAAGGAGGAGAAGGAGGAGACGGAGGAGACGGAGGGCAAGGAGGAGCAGGAGGATGGATGTGGACGGAGGACGGAGGACGGAGGACGGATGATGGAGGAGGATGGAGGACGGAGGATGGAGGAGGCCCCCCTCTGCAGGAGCTGCCTCTGGAGCCCCCCGCGGCGTGCGGCGCGGCCGCCGCCGAGGCCCCCCTCCGCCACCGAGGGGCAGGGGGCGGCGGGTCGGGCGGAGGAGGCGGCCGCCGACTCGGCTCGACTGCACCCCAAGAGTGACCCTTCGCCTGATGGGCCTGCTTTCCACCACCACCACCATGAGTTGGAGGGGGGAGGAGGAGGATGGCGAGGAGGAGGAGGAGGAGGAGGAGGGCAAAGAGGAGGAGGAGGAGGAGGCGGAGGAGGAGGAGGAGGAGGAGGACGAGGACCCCCTCCCCCTCCCACTTGTGGTGGTGGTGGTGGTGGTGGTGGTAGAAAACAGGCCCATCATCGCCGGAGTGATCCTTGGTGCGGGCCCACTGGGGCCGCCCCCGATCGCCGAACGCGATGCGATAGTAGCGTCTTGCGCGCTTGCGTTTGGTCCCCCCGCGGCCCCCAAGAAGCCGCGCACCAAAGGCCACTCTTGCCCAGAGTCACTCTTGCGTGTAGCCGATCGGCGGGCTTCCGGCCGCCCCAGGGCAGGCCAATGTTTGTCATCGGCCCCGCGCTCCAGCCTCGGTGCAGTGCGAGTGGTGGACGATGGGCTCCTCCGCCTCATCATCATCCTCAATCCCCTTGCGTGACTAGCTCTCCTTATCTGGCATGGCGTGACTTAGCTCACCGTTGGCGTTCGTGCTCTCTCGTTTCCAGCTCCGAGGCGCCGAATTTGGGATGGGCTCCCTCATGCGGGACGTTTCGCAGCTGATCTGTAGGAGGTCGAGCAAGGCTGGCAGATTTCGCCAGACATTTCGTTGTTGATCCTTTGTTTTAATGTCGTAGGCCAGCATCGTGGCTTTCTTGGGATGGGCTTCCTCGTGTATTGAATGCTGGTTATTCTTCTCGCCAGTTGCTTGCCACGTCTTTGGGGTGTTCCGTTCCTCCTGCTCTATTCTCTGTATGATCTACTTCTGATGATTGCCGTGCCCACCCCACACGTTGTAGCCGCGTCGCATCCGTGTGAACAGTCGTGCCACACGAAACCGAGCGAGTTATTGCAAGCGTGTCCAAGAGTGGCACGTTTGCGCTTCTGCGTGCAAGACAGGGCACATTCTTCGGACACGCGTGCTAAAACATCAGAGCCATACACCTAGGCGTCCTGATCGGCAACACTTTTCGCCCATGCTATATGCGAGGCTTTCAACAACATGGCCTTTATGTAACCTTCCGTTCGCTGTCCACGTGGTCTGCATTGGAGGGTTTGGAATCTACGCGCGCGCGCGAAGCGCGCGTGGCTGGTGCACACATACACACATCACGGGGGACCAGGCCCGGGGGGGCCCGGGGCCGCTACCCCGACCGCAGATCTGGGGACCAGGGGCCAAGCCCGCCTCTCGGAGGCAGCAGACGGCCTCCGAGAGCCACCGGACAGCCGTCACGGCGGCCCAAAAACGGCCCCGAGTCACCCCCACGACGCCTTTCAGGGGCTTCCGACGGCCCAAGGTGCGTCCCAAACGGCTCAAGAGGTGTCCACGACGCTACCAGACCGCTCCAAGAGGTCTCTCCAGATGGCCCAGAGAAGCGAAGATTGCCCAACCCCATCTTGAGAGCTTACTTTTTGTCACGTATTCGCATTTCTAGTTTCAACACGGTTGAAGACAACCCCAGAGGTCTCCAAAATCGCCCCGAGATTGCCCAACAGGGCCACTAGACGGCCAAGAGGGCCCCAAGACGGACCAAGAAGACCCGAAGACCGAAGACGGCCCAAGAGGGCCCCAAGAGAGCCCCAAGATGGGCCCAAGAGGGGGAACCAGAGCCGCGATTTCGAGCTCGCCGCCAAAAGATGACCGCCGAGGCCCCCAACAGGCCCCCGGCAGGCCCCAAGACGTTCTTGGGAGGCCCCCGGGAGGCCCCAGGAGGCCCCCAGGAAGCCCCCAGGAGACCCCCAAGAGGCCCTCAACCTGGCTCCGAAAGACTTCCAAAGAGACCCCAAGATACGTCTATGAGGCTTCTACACCGCCAAGTCGGCTCCAGATGGGAGGCGTCCACGACGCTTCAAGACCGCTCCAAGAGGATGCCAAAGAGGGCCCCGAGAAGCAAGCATCGCCCGATCCGCGTATGAAAACGTGCATGTTGAGCATGCTCGCTTCCTTGGTTTCAGCACGGTCCAGGACGACCAAAGAGGTCTCCAAAATCGCCTCGAGACTGCCCAGGAGGCCCCGCCCAAGCGGGCCCCAAGATGCGCCAAAAAGCCCCGAAGACGGCCCAAGAGGGCCCCAAGAGAGCCCCAAGATGGGCCCAAGAGGGGGAACCCGAGCCGCGATTTCGAGCCCGCCGCCAAAAGATAACCGCCGAGGCCGCCAACAGGCCCCCGGCAGGCCCCAAGAGGACCCCTGGAGGCCCCCGAAAAGTGCCCCAAGAGGCCCTCAAGAGACCCCAGGAGGCCGCCGGGAAGCCCCCAGGCGACCCCCTAGAGGACCCCAACCGGGACCCGAGAGACTTCCACAGAAACCCCACAGGGCCTTCTGCCTGGAATTGTTACCTTTCATGCGTGGCTCGGGGCCACGAGTCGCCCCCAAGACGGCCGCCAGGAGTCTCAGAAGGCTCTTGCGGCGCCTCCCACGGCCCCCAGAGGCCTCGAAGACGCCCCACGACCGCTCCCAGACGACCCCCCAGAGAGCGCCGAGAAGCAAAAATCGTCCCGTTCATTCTTCTTCTTTTTCTTTTTCTTCTTCTTCTTCTTCTTATTATTATTCTTCTTCTGCGTCTTCTTATTATTATTCTTTTTTATGGGCGCTCTGGGCAGCATTTGAGCGCGGGGAGAAGTCGCGCGAGCGTCGTGGCCCCTATTGGCTATCTTCTTGCTTGTCTCTAATGCTGCGGGACGGCTATTCACGGCTGAGGCGGATCCCCACCCTGCGCGCCCGCGAGCGCGTTCTCGTCGCAGGTTAATGGGATTTGTCTCACGCGTGGCCGTCCCGCTGGCGGGATGCGTTTTTCGCGCGCGTTCGCTTGGCCGCTCCGCCGCCTCTTTCTCCCGTCGCAGGTCCCCCCCCCCCCCCCCTCCTCCCGCGCGCGCGTCGCTTGACCGCTCCGCCGCCTCTCTCTCCCGTCGCAGGTTCCCCCCCCCCCCCTCCTCCCGCGCGCGCGTTCGCTTGGCCGCTCCGCCGCCTCTCTCTCCCGTCGCAGGTTCCTCCCCTCGCCCCTCCTCCCGCGCGCGCGTTCGCTTGGCCGCTCCGCCGCCTCTCTCTCCCGTTGCAGGTTCCTCCCCTCCCCTCCTCCCCCACAGGTCCGCGCGTCTACTTCGTGGAGAGCACCTACGTCCCTCGTCGGGTTTGCGGCTCGAAGGTCAGGACACACATGAGTACGGGTCATCCTGGGCCGAATGCCGACCCAGTGCGCAGTATGCCTGCGGATGCCGTATGCCGGCCACTTGTCCCCTGCGCTGCACTGCAAGTGCGCGCCGTACGCTGGTCCCTTGTGCGCAGTATGCCTGCGGATGCCGTACGCCAGCAATCGTTCCTCTGTGCAGTGCGCCTGCAGTGCGCGCCGCATGCCGGCCATTGTGCGCAGTATGCCTGCGAATGCCGAATGCCGGCCCTGTGCGCAGTATGCCTGCGATTGCTGCCTGTCAGCCCCTCTCCGCAGTATGCCTGCGCGTGCGGCTGTATGCCTGCAAGTAGCAAGTGGGCGCCGTATGCCGGCCATTAAGCGCAGCATGCCTGCGAGTGCCGTATGCCGGCCCCCCCCCCCCCCATAGCGCAGTATGCCTGCGTGCGTTGCAGCATGCCTGCAAGTGTGTGCCGTATCCCGGCCCTTGTACGCAGCACGCCTGCGGTTGCCGTATGCCGGCCCAGTGCGCAGTATGCCTGCGGATGCTGCCTGTCAGCCCCGGTGCGCAGTGTGCCTGCGGCGCGCGTTTGCCTGCCCTCTTGCGCTGGGTGCCTGCGGGTGATGTCATGTGCAACCGCCAGCGCGCGATAAGGGCGCCGAGGGGGATACGTGCACGGCGCTTTCCGACGCGCGCGCAGCATCCATGGCGCTGGCTCGCTCAGACATCGTTGAGTTGCTTGGCGATCTGCCTGCTGGCGCATTCGGCACCGACAAAAATGCCATCAGGGCGCGCGCGCGCGTCTCCGTGCGTCTACCGCGGGCATGAGCCCACTCGCAGCGGCGCGCAAGGCCGATTGGGTCCTCTTCGTCGCAGCGGCCAACGCGGCGGAGGGGGACGCATCGCCAGCTCCCGAGCTGGTGCTGTGCACCACGGTCGCGCGCCTGATGGCCGAAGCGATCGGGGCGGTCCGCCCGATTGATTACTCGGATGCGGCCATGCGCGATATGTTGATTGCGGCCCTGAAGCCAGGCGCGAAGCCGTTTGCGGGCGATTCTTCCGCGGAGTGGCGCGATTTCGCGATTAAGCCGTGCCACATCAATATGGCGCTGCGGACACAGTCGCGAGCGATGGAAGCCTTCGGGCGGAAGGCCCCCGCCCCGTTGGTGCGCGAGGACGCGGGCCGCCGCGCGGCGTGCCGCCAGGAGGGTCAGCAATCGGCCCCGGCGGAGGCGGCCGCCAAGCCCGCGGAGGAGACGACGCGGATTGCGGCGGCAATGGAAGAACACGTGAAGGCCAGCAAGGAATTGCTCGAAGAAAAGCGGGAGAAGCCGCTGGCGTTTGCAATGGAGGCGCGCCGCGTTTTCGCATGCGCGGGCGGCATTGTTCGGGGATGCGCGCCTCGGCAGGACCGCGTGCGCGAGGTCTGGCTCGGCAAGTTCCCCCGTGAGGGATTGCCGACCGAGGAGTCGATGCGCAAATTCGCGGCCGCGGGCCGGACGGCCCAGCCCCATGGCCGCTCATACATTGGGAGCGCCGAGGGCGAGAGCCTGCAGGCTCCCTGCTCGGCGGCACGTGCAATGACAAGCTTCCGTTTCGCCGATTGCTCCGCGCGCAGGACCACTGCAAGCCCCAATGGGCGCGAATGCCGAAGCTGGACTCGGTACCAGCGGGGGCGGGCTCGTGGCGCGATCGCGCGTCGGCCGTCACCGCGGCGAACCGCGCG